TAAGTCCTGAGAAAACTTTCAGAACAAGTAACCTGAAATTTGACAATCTGACTAGGAGACTGCCCTGGTGATGCTTTGGGAGCTGAACTATAGGCTTAACTCTGACGCCCAGTTTGTGTTTCCTTCTCCTACTAGAAGGGGGGATCCAAGTGGGAGCCTCAGCAAGCCTTACTAATGCTATTCTTTATGTGGAAGTCACTGGGATTAAAGTCACAGGCTGGTGACTGTGAAGGGTCTGCTCACATCCAGGTAGAGCCCACAGTGCCCTGTGACTTTTGCCTAAGTAGGAGGCATACCTTGCAGGGTCTATGTTGGGTTATGGTAAAGAAAAACAATCAAAAAAAAAAAAAAAAAACAATCAGTTAAGGTTCACTAGAGGAACAGATATAATATATTCATGATTATACAAAAGATTTACTAAGTAGGCTTATAGAATCAGAAATAGAAGAGTCTCAGTTGTTGTCTATCAGACCAGACCTAGAAGAATATAAACTGGCTATCTGTACTTTGGGGGACAAAAGATCCTGAGGAAAGTCAAAGGCCTGGAGCTCACTGCAGCCTGCAAGTCTGGGTCAGAGAGTCAAAGAGCCTGTACTAGAGCCACCCTGAAAGAACTGGAGATAAACATCCAAATGTCGTGGCCAGGACTGGAGCCTCTCAAAGTAGAAGTGCAGACACCCTTATTTTCTTGCTCTCGCTCTCGCTCTCTGTCCCAGGCTACAAGCTACGAGCTTGTGCTATTTCCAGGGTGGGTCTTCCCTTCTTAGTTTGTGACCTACATGTCAGTCTTCTACAGTCACTCAGAGCTTTACTAATCAGTTAGATGGTTCTTTCTCAAGTCAAGTTGAGGTATTATAATTCATGTCACAGTAACCAAGGCAGGAAAGGAAGGTGCTCTGTTGTGATGTGAAATCCCTTGAGTCATTATTTTTTCTTCATTAGATTCATGTTATATCAGGGTCCTATTTCTGTGTTAACACATTTTATGTGATGTTTAAAACCACCACTTGCTATGTGTAAAATGTTTAATGCTTACAGTATCTAAATTCAAAATAAAACCTTCCTTTAGATTGTGGTTTGGTCTGCATGTAAGGAAGAAGTTGGGAGGGGGACTAAGACCAGGTGACAGGAGATTCCAGTTTTGTAGAACCTTGTTTTTCTTTTGGGGTTGGGACTTCCAGAAGCCTGGCTTTGTGAAAGAAAGCCATCAAACAGAAATTTGCACACTAAAAGCAACAGAAAGGGGGTCCAGGCAGTGTAGCAGTGCTTCTTGGCAGGGAATCTCTTGAAGTTGCTTTGCAGCCTCAGAATCTCTTTTCAGCTGTTTTGTGCTTTTCCAGTAACTTGCTCTTTAACCATCATCTGTGTCCCTGTCAGTATGGTCCCCAAGGTCTTGCTCCTCTTTCCAAAGTGCCCTCTTCCCACCATGCTCTAGCAAGTTCTAGGCAGTAGAATGGTAGTGTGGTAAATATCTACCAACTGGCATTGTGTGTGTGTGCGTGTGTGTGTGTGTGTGTGTGTGTGTGTGTGTTATAGGGGTAGCGACAATTTACACCGTGGACATTAGAAAATGATGAGTTTTGAATATTTATTACCATTGCATTAAATATAATTTATTTAATTGTAGATTTACATAATTACATTTTTTAACAATGGCTGTACATAATCACCTTGCAAAACTCCTAAAAATTTAACAACCACAGTACAAGCCAGTTCTAGTATACCTCTGGGTTTTGGACTGGAAAAAAAAGGGACATGAAAGGGTACATTTAGTACTAAAACACTAAACAGATTCTATGCTATTCAGATTTTATGTCTGAGTTCTTCAGAGCCTTGGGTCCACAAATTCATAGAAATGACATGGCTGATATTGGTCAGAAGCCTGAAATTTGGAGCCGGTTCTGCTATTTGCTAATTGAGTGACTTTAACCAAGTTACCTAACCTCTCTTGGCTTCGTTCTCACATGAGAATTTCTCACCTATAACACAGTACCAGCTTCATATGTTTCTGACAGGGATGACACAAGATAACACATTTAAAGATGTTAGCTCCCTGGGTTATATAATAAACTCTCAGTCAATGGCAGTCATGAGCGCTATCATGATTATTATCCTGATAGATGTCTGCAGTTATCATAGGTAGGGAAGGGGTTTGCACCAGGTATAAATTTATGTGGGGACAGATTGATAAAGACAGTCTTCATTGTACAGTCTGACCTCCATTTGCCATCTGCCATTTATGTGGGTTTGGCCTCAAGGGGAAGGCGCAGCCCTCTGGCTACAGCCCTGGATGAATTGTTCTCACAGAGGCTGAAGTTCAAAGATGGGCAACAGATCTCTCACTGGTGAGTGCGGCTGCCTCTCCATTTCTTCTTTTAAAATGCAAATATTCCTTAGAGGTCCTCATCAAGTCTAGCACCTTGGCTTAATAGTGAAGGAAGCTAATTCTATCCCAGGGATCTGTGAGGGGTTCTGGGGAATCTAAGAGAGGTCCAGAAATTGAGGAAGAGAGACAGAAAAGGCATGTGGAGGACACTGATGACTCCTTGTGCTTGTCCTTCATCTCCTCTCTGGGCCCAGCCTGCTGCAGGCTGACCAGAGCTTTTAAAGCAAATCTCCATCTTTTCCTCCCTATTTCTCAACCAAGGGCTATTCTCAGGTTCACAGCCCACCGAGGAAATGGATTGTGAATATTTTGGTCAGTCTTTCTATTCTGAGAAAACCAAGTTTGCAATTAATTGATTTGAGTTCTATTTATGGTCCAACCATTTGATGCATGACCTCAAGAAGGTCATGCCAGGTCTGTGAACCTGTTTCTTCAGTATGTTGAGGATACTGATGAGGATTAATCTGAGACTCAAATGAGAGACCACTTTAGGAGTCATAAAGCCTCCCCCCCACCTGACTCTTCTGTTACCAGTTTCTATTCTTCATTCATTGCTGTTAGTTTAATTTTTCTTCTTTAGTCCCACACATGTGGATGTGGAGAGAAAGATTTCCTTGGGAGCACCACCACAGGAAGGGAAAACACTTCCTCATCTTTATTTCACAGGTGTCTAGGAAGGAAAACAGAAGGTTCTATCCTGCAACACTTATTCAGAATATGATCTTGTGTACAATAATAACCTCAAGTTATTTTATTCCCAGGTTGGCTCAGGTCACTTGGCACAAGAAGGCAAAGGCAATGTCTACAGGGTACCTGAGGCACTGAGAAGGTTAAACATGTTCTTCTTGAGGTTTTATCTGGCTCACTGTGATGCTATACAAATGTTTTCAAAACGGCTCTGAGTATCAGAAGAAAGGAGAGGAACTGTGGCTGCCAGAGGTACCACGTTTACAGCCGAGTGGGTCTTGGGCTGCAGGAGAAGGCCGGGGGTTAGCACGTGCCAAGTGGGAGGACCTTCCTAGCACTGGCCAGTCTGTACCTGTGGGGCCTGCTGGCTCCTGGGCCTCTCCTGAGGTGGAGGCCAGGAGCTGGTACCCGGGCATAGTGTGTCTGGTAGCGAGCAGCATGCAGTCCTTGTCTTGAGGTTGCAGAGCCTGATTTTTGCCTAAATCTGAGAGCGAGATGTGTTGTCTCTGCACAGGAATCTGACAGAATAAAGTCTCTGTTCCAGGGTCCAAGGGACTGTTACTGGGTGTGTGGAAGGGATTGTTGTCAAATCTTCTATCCACGGGGACCTCTCTCTAGTGCTTTGGTTGGGGCAACAGCAAGAATGGCTGCAGAATTAGTCATTGCGGGGAGAGTGCTGTCTTTCAGGAAAACACCTTCAAGGTGGAGAAAAGATTGCTGATGGCCAGCCAGGGCAATCTACTGGACACTAAGCACTAAGCACACACTACTTGACCCAGTTAATAGGGCTGAGGTGTGGGAATGGGGTGCCAAAAGACCACTCAGCCCAGGAGAGTACCGAGCTGCATGTGGGTGTGGTGCTTTCCTGCTGAATGGGCCACCAAGCATCTTAGAAGGAAAGGAAAGGGAAGTACCTGAGCATGAAAGTCGGGGTCAGCCGTCCCTGTCCAGGGTCACTGGTGTGACCCCACATGTTCTTGTGTTCAGTGCCCGGTTGTGGTCCTGCTCTAGGAAGCATCAAGAATAAAACAGGTCTTCCACCTGGTGTAAGAGGGCATGACTGTAGTGGGAGGATGGGTGGATTTCATAACTCTGAAGAGGGAGTGGCCTCAAGGTAAGGCCAAATTTATGTATTTATTTATTTTTCTGTCCCTACCACTTGCCCACCCTTTTCTATCATTTGCTCAACAAACAGCAAAGGGACTCCCCCCCCCCCCAAGAAAGCACCAGGAATGTGAGGACTCTGATTTCAGAGCAGAATGGGCTGGGCTGGGCTGGGAGCAAGGCCACCAGAGTGATAGAAGATGGTTTGGTATCTGGCTGCTCCCCAGCCCTGATAGCAGTCGCTGCCTATCTGCCGAAGAGACCCTGTCCTCTTGTGTCCCAGTAGCCTGGCTTCAACCCTGAGCTCTGAGAAGACATCAGGTATGCCTGGCTAGCTTGAAACATGATGTGTCATAGATCTGGCCAGTTACCCTCCTCAGGCTCACTGCCTTCACACAGGGCTGCCTTACCTCTCTCTGAAATTGATAGGAAAAAGAAGGAAGAAACTATTTGGCTGCTAAATCTCCTTTCAGCTGAGCCTATTTATGATCATAGTGGCTTTTGTTCCTTTGAGAAGCAGTGGAGAAAGAAACTGGGTGGGGGGCAGGAAATAGCTACTCTGATCAAATCTTAGAAACATTCTACAAAACTATACCAACAAGGCAGGACGACATCACAACAAGATCTTGAATCACAGGATGTTTACATAATATAATGCCCATGGCAGACAAAAACACTAAATACAACAAATTACCTGAGACAAAAAACAAAACAAAACAAATCCAGGAAGGTTGGAAAGAAGAGAATCAAAAGGAGTCTGGTGTCCTGGCGTCTGGAGGCCAAGGGTGCCCTGTTAGAGTCTCTCGATGGCTGTGTGTGAAGGTCCAGCATCTCCTGGCCTCACATCTCGGCTTCTGTGGTGTGGACCTCTGCTGCAGTGATGGCGATTCCTATAGCGAGACTGCCATTGTCAGAGAAGAGCTGGGCCAGAGAGGTGTTGAGGACCAGGCAGTCCCCATCAGTGATGACTGAGTCCACGCATTCGAGGACAGACCGTGGGGTGGCCTCCCATTTGAGACGACGATGGTTTCTGTTGAGCTCCAGACGGTAGGTGAAGCAGTCAGCCTGGGTGGGCGTCCCGATCAGCATCATGGTGGCAAAGAACTGGGGGTGCCCTTCATGCCTCTCCTGCTTCCTGAGCACCAGCAGGAAGTGGTGGCCGAGGCAGGAGTGCATGATGATCCAGTCCGCTGGTGCGGGCAAATGCATGTCTGTGGCCAGGAAGACGATCTCTGCACCCTGGAGGATGTCAACCCTGTGGATCTGCCGCAGGTGGGGAACTACCACCTCCAGGTGGCCTTCCCACTGGCATGAGAACAAGGGGCACATACAGGACGTCACCTGGGTGGCATGCAGCCCTACCTCCTGGTGGTGGAGGAGGTGGGGGCGGGCATGGTGCCGCAGGTGGTGGTGGCGGTGGTGGTGGCGGTGATGGTGGGGGAGGTGGTGAGGGTGGAAGCTGCCTTGCTCCGTGGTGTTCTGGGTGATGGCCCGTCTGTTGGACACATACTAGAAGAAAAGAGAAGCATGTTAGTGGGATGTGATGCCCACTTCTCTCCCCACGTACAACTTGTGTGGAGTCCTAAGTGTTAATAGCAGACAACCTGTCCAGTACAGAGGGCATTTCATATTTCTTTAACAAGTAAGGAACATTGTGGGAGGTGGGGGCTGAGATTCTGAAAAGTCAATCCAAGAAAATGCAATATCAATGTCTTTCTGATTCTTTAACAAGCTACCCAAGCAGATAGGCAATTTTCTCCCTCAGATAACAAGTACCATGATGGTCATCAATCACAAGGAACAACAACAACAACAACAAAACCTTTGTGTTTGCTTCTTAACATTGTTAGTATTTCATGCAGACAATGGTGGTCACTGTGCTTCTTAATTCTATTATTATTTTTAGAACAAAATCTCTGTAATAGCTGTTTGTCCTCCCAGTGTTGCAGGAATCACGCTGTTTTGGGTTCTCTTCACCCTGTCCTCAGGCAACTGGTAAGGCAAAGGCTGTTATGTGTGTGTGGAGCTTGGGACGGAGGGCGCCCCAGCCGGGACTCCCGAGGTTGCCCCACTGCATATACGTTTGCTGTGTTCCCAGCTATCTGCTCCAGAAGTGCTTTCCCGGGTCTCATCTCTGGGCACCCTCCACTGTGGCAACTGTCTGGCCTCCTGTTCCTCATGGTAGCATGCCAACAAGTGTCCTCAGCAGCCCTAGGATCTGTGATGGCGCCTTCTGATCAAGTGTGCTGATCAGGAGGTACTGAGTACCTGCTGTGCCCAGGGCCTGTTAAGGGCACAGCTATGAGCAAGATAGATGCTTGAGCCTCTTGGTGTGGCTGGCACAGCACGGGTACAATTACAGTTAATTATGTAGCGTGACAAGGGTCCTCCAGGGGCCATGAGAAGTGTGAGTCATATCTTTTAGCTGAAAGAATGGGTTTCAGAAGTTGTGTGCTTGAGGTTACAAAGCTGGCAAGGGATATACTAGATTCATTTTTGCATCTCTTGACTCTTAAAATAGGGACACTTATTCACCCCCGCAAGCCATGCCTGCCTTCACTCCCTCCCTCTCCACTCCTATGAGCAGTTATTGGATTCGCTGTAGGATCTGGGTCCTGCAGGAGGTGTGACAGCTCTGCAGTGAGCTCCAGGCATAAATCCTCCACCTAGCAGCGATACCTAAGCTACCCTTAGGTAGAGACTGTCCCTCTGCCTTAGTTCTTTTTTTTCTTTTCTTTCTTTTTTTTTTTTTAGACCTTTATTAACAGGTGCTTGCAGTTTGTTGACTTTTTTGAAAAAATCAAGTTGTAAACTTTTATTACAAATTAAAAATGAAGTTCTTAAAAATCTCAACTTGACCAGATATGAAAAATTTAAAAACCATTAAAGGTGTATTGAGGGGCTGGTGAGATGGCTCAGTGATCTAAAGCACCTACTTAGAACAAGCTAAGCTAAGCAAAAGCACAGACCCGGTTCAATCCCCAGCACCACATGCCAGCCAGCCCCGCCCCCTGGTGGGCTGAGCTGACCACACACACACTAAAAATAAAATAAAGTTTAAAAAAAAAATAAATAAAAATAAAGGTGTATTGAGAAAAACCAGACTTAAAAAAAAAAAAAAAACAAACACATGTTTGTCATTACCAAAAAGAGATGTCTTTAGGTAAAAATAATGAAAACCCCATGCTCCATAGATAATGCAGATCTAGTTATCTGGTCAACGGGCAAAAAAACAAGCACTTAAGGTCTTCAGTTTCAATCTTTTGTTCATTTCTTTCTTTTTTTTTTTTTTTTT